ATTCAACGGGATGCTTTCCTCTATACATTTGTACTGAGTCTGTCAGCCTTTGGTAATGCTGCTGATGATGCTGAAGGTAATGTCCAAATCACTTATCCAGTATCTATCATGCCATAGGCCCTTTACATGCACTGCCCCTTTTAGTCCAAGGGAGACACAAATAGCCACATTTTACATATTAGGAAATCGGAACCCTGGATTAGGGCTCAGTTGGAATTGCTGAAGGGAATGTTCTGGACCCGCTAAAGGAGAAGGAGGGAGGAGGGGGGAGGGAAGGAGGAAGGGAGTTATTCCCAAGATCCCCATGCCCGTGACTGCCGGAGCCAGACCTGCCTCTAGGCCTGCCTGCCCCGGAACCCCACTCACTTTCCCCTGCACCTCAGCAGCGTACCTTGGGTGATGTTGAGAGACAGCCCAGCTCCTGAGCCCTCACCGGCAAGCCAGGCTCCCCTCCACACCCTCACCCTCTTCCTCGGAGAGCAGGGGCAAGTGGGCGATGCACTGCTCAAGGAACAAAACAAGGTCCTGAAAGCCCCTGGTCCTGAGAACTGGGTCCTGGGGCCCAGCCTTGAGTCTTGAGGGGGGCACCTGGGCAGATGGGGTGGGAAACAGATGAGAAGATATATTGGCATGTCTTAGCTTGCACCACCATAACAAAATCCTGAGACCAAGAGGCTTATAGCAGACATTTCTCTCTCACAGCTCCAGAGGCTGGAAGTCCAAGACCAAGGTGTTGGCAGATTCAGAATCTGGTGAGGGCTCCTTTCCCAGCTTGCACATGGCTGCCTTCTCGCTGTGTCCTCACATGGCCTCTGTGGAGAGAGGAAGAGATCTCATTCCCTCTTCCTCTTCTTATAAAGGCACCAGCCCTATTGGATGAGGATCCCACCCTTATGACCCCATTAACCTTAATTGCTTCCTACAGGCCCTCTCTCCAAATCCAGGCACACTGGGTGTGTTAGGGCTGCAAAGTATGCCTTTCGGAGGGACACGATTCAGTCTATAGCAGGGGGTTGCTCTAGGAGAAGGGGCACTCTAGTTTATTTTGATCCCTCGGAGCTTGCAAGGGGGAAGGCGGAAGGGAGATCTATCCGAATGTGCCTCTGAGTCACACTCCCTAGGTGAGCATGGGTCATAGCACCTGCTTCAGGGGCCTTCATGAACACTGGTGGACGTCAGGGAGAGGCAAGGTGGCCTCATCATCCAATTTCCCCACCTCTGATCCATACTGACCCGAGGCAGGATCCAGCGATCCCAGCGAGTCTTGCTATTGGTGTCACCAGCTCTGTTTCCTCTGGTTTGAGCTTCTGGGGTCAGGGGGAGTGTGGGCAGCCAGACGTGCTGCATCCAGCCTAAGGGAGCATGGCCTACTCCATTCCCAGCCGCCACCCTTCTCCCTTCTGTAGTTACAATAGCACAGAGGACCAGAGTCAAAAGAGGACCTGGAGACAAGTGGGCCTTCACTTCCTCAAGCATTCAGGAGCAGGGGTCTGTGAGCTAGAACCAGGTTTATTGGAAAGAAACTCCTTAGTAGGATACACACTCAAATTCATCAAAGAACTACAAATAATTGTTTTTTTTAATAGGACTTTTTCCAAAGCCAGTGTGGGCCCAGTGCAGTGATATTGAATCTGGTTTTTCGACCTGGCTGCCATTGATGCTAATACACGTCCTTGGTCATTTCCTTTCTCCAAGTGTAAGTGTTTTCATCTGTAAGACATGGGGATAATCTCATTGGAAATAGAACTGCTTCAAAAACAGTAAGGTCATAAAACTAAGTCAGATATGATTATTATTATTTTTTAAAAGATTTTATTTTTTTTTTTATTTTGAGACAGAGAGAGAGCACAAGCAGGGGGAGTGGGAGAGGGAGAAGCAGACTCCCCACTGAGCAGGGAGCCCGATGCGGGGACTCGATCCCAGGACCCTGCGATCATGACCTGAGCCGAAGGCAGATGCTTCACCGACTGAGCCACCTAGGTGCCCTAAGTCAGTTATTATTAAGAATAATGAGACTCATTCCTGACTTAAAGTGTTTACAGCCATGGTATGGAAGACAAATTGTATATACAGCAGGCCACCTGTTATGTTGAATTGTTCCCCCATAAAGATGTTGAAGTCCTAATCTCTGGTACCTGTGAAGATGACCTTATTTGGAAACAGTGTTTTTGCACCTGATCAAGGTCATTAGAATGGGCTCTAATCCAATATGACTGGTGTCCTTACGCAGAGGGGAAATTTGGACACAGAGGCAGACACACACAGACGAAAGATGAAGGAAGACATAGGGAGAACACAGCCATCTATAAGCCAAGAAGCACCTGACAGAAATCAGGGGTTGAAACCTGAACAGATTCCCCCTCAGGTCCCTCAGAAGGAACCAAACTTGCTGACACGTTGAGCTTGGACTTCCCAGCCTCCACAACTCCGAGACAATAAATGTCTCGGTTTGAGCCAGCCTGCCTGTGGTACTTTGTTACGGCGGCCCCAGTAAACTAACAACACCGGACCCTGAATTTGCTTTTTGCTTTGCTCTAGGTTATTAAATTCAAAAGTACTTATTGAGTAACTACTACATGCCCTGCGAGAACAAAAGGAAGAGATCAGGCTGTATCTCACCTGAGGGAGACACTCCTCCTTTAGAAGTTCAGGGAAGGGAGAAGTGCCCGAGAGCTGAGATGTCAGAGGGCGAGGTGAAATCGGAACTGAGCCCTGAGGGATAGGTAGGTTCCAGATGGGTGGGAGAGGACTGCCGAGGCAAAGGCCCCAAGGTCCACTGATAGGTGGGGTCCAGGACTGCCTCAGTCCAGCTCTGTACTCCCCCTGAGCTTCCTTACCCTCCACCAGCCTCACCCTGGGTCTCCCGTACTTTCCCCTCCTCCTCATCTTTCAAGGCCCAGGGACACGGCCACCTGCTCTGTGAGCCGTTCCTCTCCCCACGAGCTGATTTTGCAGGGGGTCACAGCTAGCTAGAGCTCAGTCCTCGATGACGGTGATTATCATGCTCTATGTGGATGTCTATCTGTTGTCCTGTGACTGAACTGGGGAGACCTGTGCTCTGAGTCTGTGGCAGAGACATCATGATGTGTTCACCAACAAGACGGTTTTCCCCTGGGCCCAGAGGAAGGCTGTAATTCCTGGACCCCTTGCAGCCAGGTAGCGACACGTGACTAATTCTGGTCCTTAAATATGGACCCATGTGATGTGTGCCTCCTCCAGGCCTGGCTCCCAATGACCCCTTTCCCCCCCCCTTCCGGCCCCCCCCCCCCCAGCACTATCTCCTCCCTTGTTGCTGGCTGGAAGTCAAGGGGCCAGCGATGTCCTCAGAAACCCTGAAGGAAGAATCTCGAGATGGAAGAGGCTGGAGTTCCTGAGCGCCTGTGAGGAGTCTTCCCAGTGCCCTCCGACCTAGCACCGGACTGCAGCCTGAGTGAGAGGTGGGTCTTATGTGTGACCACAGCAGAACATAACCTATGCCAGTTAACTCAGTATCTGCAGTCACCCAGGCCGACGGGCCTGGGCTTGACACGTGGCTAGGGGCTTCTCACCTGTAACCCCACCCTCTGTGCAGACAGATGACAGGGAAGCTGCTCAGTGACCCTGGCCCCTGGTCTGCTGAGAAGGAAAGATGCTGGCCCTGGGTACCAGAGCCACTCCGTGTGACATCACCTCAGCCCCATACCACTGATGCTCACAGTCATTATTGCATTTAATCCCCACAGCAGGGCTGCCTAGGAGACTAACTCCCTCCGGGGTTGGTTTCGCCATTCGCTGGCTGAGAGAGGGGTCTGGGCTCTCAGACCACCTGGCCTGCCAGCCCAGCTATTCCCCCCCAAGCCGCCCACCAGCATTCCTCTCAGCAGCCTCCCGTGTAGTGGGAGTTCACTCCCGGTGTTTTTGTGGAGGAGGATTTGCAGGAGGATTTGAGTTTTCCCCTAGAGACGCCAGAAAGACAGTCTGTCTCAGGCTAACGCTATCGCCCAGCTCCACAACCAGGGCTGTTTCTGTGGTTACCTTTCTTTGGGGATGTTTGGGGTGGGTGGTGGTGGTAGTGGTGGGTGTGTGTATATATTTGCTTTTTCCAGGGCCCAGATTTTCCAAGAGTTACTGGGGTGAGGGGCTCTGGGAAGCACAGTCCCTTTTTCCTTCGCTCTCAGGCAGGTGCGTTCAGAGGGGGACAGAGGAAGTCCATGGGAAACACAGGGTTGTCTCTCCCTGACTCCCAGGCCGCCTGTCCCTGGGAGCGAGATGTCCACCAAGTCCCTTCCTCAGCAGAGACTAAAGACCCACAGCATGTCAGGGAGGGAGGGGCCCGAAGGAGCCTGCCCCTCCTCCCGTCCATCTTATAGGTGGGGAAACCAAGCCCGCGGGAGTCTCAGGGACTTGCCCAAATCGCCCAGAACTGGCAAAGGCAACCAGAACTGGAACTCAGGTGTCCTTCCTCCCGGTCCTCGGCTCCTTCCCAGGCGAGGGAAGGCCTGTGGTATCTGCTCAGGGGACTGGCGGTGAGGGTGCCAGAGGGCCCCGGGAGACGGCCTGGGGCGACTCCAGCCTCTTCCCTTTCTGGGCCACCCGGGCCTCACTTCCTGCAGAGGACCGGGGAGGCGGGGGAGTGGGCGCGGAGCTGGCCCCTCCCGGTGCCGCCTCCCCGCCTCTCCCACACCAGCAGGCCAGAGGCCAAGGGTTAGGGAGGCGGAACCGGTGCGCGGCTTCGCTCCTGCGCCGAAATCCACCCGGGACTGGGAGCGGGTCAGGGCCTAGACTGGGCGGAGAGTGCACTACAGAGCAAGTGAGGGGCCCGGCTTGGAAGACTCGGAGGCCCGGCACCTAAGGGCCAGCAAGGGGCGTGGCTGGGGACAGGGGCGCGACCCAAGCAGGGTGGGCGGGCGGGGCCAAGTGTGGGGGCGTGGCCGGGCGGGGGCGGGTCCGCAGGAAACTTGAGCGCCAGCCCCGGCCGCACGCCCCGCCCCCGGCCCCCGCCTCCGGGTCCCGCCTTCGAGTCCCTTCCTTCCCGGCGCTGGCAGGCGGGCCGCGGCGACTGCAGGCGGCGGACGGGCGGACCGGCGGATGGGCGGGCGTCTCCAGCTCGCTCCCTCCCTCGCTGCCGGCTTCCTTTTGTTTTTCTGGGAGGCGATGAGCGCAGGGCCGGCGCGGAGGCTGCGGGCGCACGGAGGCCCGCGCTCCTAGCCACCCTTCCCGGCCTCGGCGCGCTCGTCCCAGGCAGCGGCCCGCGCCCGCCCCAGCGCCAACCGCGCGGAACTTGGGCTGGGGAAGCCGGCGGACCGCGTCCTGCGCCGGAGCAGGTAGGGCAACCGGGGGGCGGCTGTCTGCGGAGAGTGCGGGCGTGTGCACCGGTGTGAGCTGCGACCGGGCTCTCTGCGTGTGTGTGTGCGCGCGCGCGCGCGCGTGTGTGTGTGTGTTGGGGGTGCCTGTGTTTGTCTGCGTGGTGGAGTTGTGGGTGACCGCGGACGGTGGTGTGTCCCTGGAATGGCGTGTCCTCGTGGGGATCCGTGTGTACAGTGGGTGTGCACATTTTGGGGTTGCGTTTGTGGAATTGTGTGTCCGGGCACAGTTGCTGGTGGGGACGGCTGGCGGGGCGGGTGGCTGGTGTGAGCGGCTGCGCGTGGGGCGCGGGTGGCGGGGTGGGCGTGGGCGGTCCAGCCCTGTGTGCGGAGCCCTCTGTCTCCCGCCGGCCGGCGCAGTGCGGAGCTCCAGGGGCTCCGCGGACAGCTGGGATCCAAAGCAGCTAGCGCGGGCCTCTGGGGCAGCCTGGGCTAGCCCCGCTGGGGGGCAGGTCCGCGAGGCCCACGTGGGTGGCAGGTGCGCTCCCGCCAGGGTAGGGGGCTGGCGCGGCGGCCATCTGCGCCCTCCTTACTAGGCCGAGGGGCGACGGACAGAGCCTTGATCCGGAGTTAGGAGCCCTGGCCTCGCCGTGACCCGCACTGCGACCTGGGCCAGACACGCCACCTTCTCTGGTTGAGGTTTGCTTCTCTATCAAATGGGGACAGCCCTCCCTAGGGGTCTGCCATGACATTTAAAATGAGAACGCACTAGAGATAGCTCTTGGCCCGGTGCTTGGCACATAGTAGGTGCTAAGTTAATTGAATTAGTGTCTCTCATTTTTTAATCCTTTTTTTCCCTTTATCGTGGGTGGGGCTATTACATCTTCTGCCCCCCGCGCGTGTTTTATGCCTCTCTCACGGCCCTAACTTAACTGCGAAGCACCGAGATTCGAGAAAGTTTAGGCTGCCGGGTGCGCCGCCTGCTCGCCGCACCTCCCGGGCGGCGCCGCCTCGAGTGTGCAGGAGCGCGCAGCGCCCAGCCATGAAGGTTCCCGCGCCCGAGCTGGGGGTCCCTCTCCTGGCCAACTGCGGCGGCTGCTGGAGTCGGGAGCCTTTTTGTTCAACAAGTGCCTAGTCCCCGGGCTTGCAGCTTGCAGAGTCTGACAGCCAGGGCGTGAAAGTGGCGCTCCCCACAGAGACGGACCTCGGGCTCCCAGGGCATCCCGGCCGGGCCTGGTCAAGCTGAAGGCCATCTCTTTTACTCCCGACAGCACCGAGTCCCCCTAGAGGAGGGTGTTTGCCAGGACCGCAAGTGCTGCCTTGGGCCTCGGCGTTGGACACCCTCCGACCCCTCCCCCCACACATCCAACCGCGTCTCTCTTGGATCAGCCTTAAGCAGGAGCCCGAGGGCGCGTGGGATCCTTCCTCCTAGTCCTACCCCTTAATTTTTAAAATATTTAGTTTGAAGCCTACTACTACGTAACACTGAACTGCAGTGAACGTGCACACCCTCTAACCACGGTTCACTCTCAGGGAGAGTCCTGCCAACCGCAGCATAGCGCTTGCTAGACCCGGCAGGGCCAGCTGGCCCCGGCCGCCCTGCTGCCTTCTGCCAGAGCTGGTGATTCCTTCCCTCCATCGCTGTGGTTTCTTTTTTCCTCTCAGGACCCTTCCCAGTCAGAAAAACAAATAACCTTTCAGGAAGGGAGCAGCCAACCTCATGGTGCATGACGCTCTCAAAATGGAGTGTCAGCATGGAATGGGCTCGGGGCCCATTTTGGGGATCATCAGCTGGGCTGTGCGTAGGTATGGGATGTGTTTCCCGGGATCACCTGGTCCCGGTGGGTGTGCTCAGGGAAGCTGGAATCCTTTGCAGGCTTTTATGAAACGGGAGCAGAAGGCTCTTGCTTGGTCTGTCTTCTGACAGCCCCGAGTGCTGAGGTCTCAGTGGTGATGGCAGGCCAGGGGACTTGGATAAGCTAAGTTTTCATCCGATTTGGTGTCAGGGGCACACTTAGAATGAAACCTGCTTTTTCTGTTGCATAAGATGATTTTATATCCTGGAGGAGAAAAGGGATTTTCATCTGAATCCTACTCTCTTTCCCATAATCAGATTGAATAATACTGAAGGGAAAAAAAAAATCAGGCTGGCTTTCTCAGCTCAGAAGACAGACCAAAAGCTGGGCTGTTTGTTGTTGGGGTGGCTGTTTTGTATTTTCCTGCTTAAAACCAGCCCTTTGTCTCAAGCAAACCAGTGTTTTGGCCCTAGATCTATTTCTGTTTCACTTTTGAGAGCGCCTGTAATTACTGAGCTCTTGAGGCTTTATTGGATAATGTGCCGGAGGGAAGGCCCAGGGGCTCTGCCTCTCACTTGCCGTGGGATGTGGTGCCTTTTTAGCCTTGCCTTCTCCCTTTAGGTTCCACTTGGGTGCTTTTTGTAAGGTGAAAAATAGATGTCAACGTGCGATAATAATTCGGGACACCCGGCATTGGGAATCAGATGCCTGGAAGCGCAGACTTATGGAGAAACAATAGGTCAAACCGCCAGAAGAACAGATTTGCCCAAACCCTAGCCGGTGATCCATTCGTTTCCAATAAGCCCTCTAGAGGGAAACTCTAAGAGATATAAAGGAGCTTGGACTAATTCCTTCAGAATTTTATCTTAATGCCCCTTTTGGGCCACTGGGCTGTGCAGAATTAGAAATACAAGCTGTTGAGTGACAAGGAGTGGACTCGCCCTCGCGCACAGTCCCCATCCGGGGCCTCCTGTTTACAGAGCTCTCTCTCTACCTGGGGCTGCTCTGGAGTTTCATCTGGTAAAGCAGTAGTGCTTTCCAGGGGCTTCAGACCCACTGCCTTTGGGGCTCCATGTGCACAGTTCCAAGGGTTGCCTTTTCCCATAAAAATGCCCTATTAAACGTTCGTGTATTAGGCAGTTTGTCTCCCCCTTATGCCTATTGTCCTTTCCCCCAACTTATCCTGGGACCTTGTATAGCCAGCCACTCATAAGTGGTAAAGTGCCCAGGTCACTTAGGGACCGGTGTTAATCCTGGAGACTACTAAGGAGCCCCAGAGTTATTTGGCACCACAGAGTAAGCTATTTTGCAGCTGAAATTTTATCTAGATCAGGATCAGGTTTGTGTTAGAATTTAGCCTGCCAGCAAGCCCTAAACCAAGCTTGTTTGTTATGGGATAATGCTTCCAATTTGTGAGTCGCCAGCCCGGGCTTGATGGGGGATTATGTGTATTTTGCTAGTTTGTCAGCCCCGGATGTCATTGTGTTTGTGGAAGGAGGGCAGTTATGAACCTTAATCGCGCTCCCTCTGCTGTGGGATTCACCATTCTCCCACGGCCTCATTGGGTTTCTTTGGTGTGTTCATGCCCACACGTAAGGCTGTGCATCTCCTGTGGCTCTTGCCTTCTTCCCTTTGGGTTGAGTTTCTAATGAGGGAATGATAGGTGATAGCAAATGATGTGGAGATAGCGCAGCAGGCTTAGGTAGGGGCTGTCTCGGTGACTCTTGCACCATGGGGAAAAATATTTCTTTCAAATCACTTTCCACCAAAAAAAAAAAAAAAAGGTTGGAATCTAGTGGCATGGGTTTTCATGTAACTTCCGGTAATCAATACGGTTTGACAGGTGAACATTTCTTAGGCACTGATGAGCAAGGTGCAAGTCTAAGGAATTTTTTTTTTTTTTTTATCATCAGGAAAGCACAGTAAATCCTTTAACAGAGCCCTGCCTTGGCCATGTCCTTTCAAGTATAATTGAATTGCAGAGGCAAAGCTTCATATCTCTGCATTTATGAGGCATGACTAACTAAAGACACTTTCGGAGAGATCCCAGGCTCCTCCTGTTGTTGCAGCCTTCCTCTGCTGGCTGCAGGTGTGCAAAGATGTCTTCTCGGGGCTCTTTTCATTTACCTTTTTTTTTTTTAAAGATTTTATTTATTTATTTGAGAGAGAGAGAGTGTGCATGAGTGGGGGTGAAGAGCAGAGGGAGAGGGAGAAGCAGACTCCCTGCTGAGCAGGGAGCCCGATGTGGGGCTCCATCCCAGGACCCCGAGATCACGACCTGAGCTGAAGGCAGCTGCTTAACCGACTGAGCCACCCAGGCGCCCCTTCATTTACCTTTATAAGCCAACCGCACCCCCACACCTGCTAATCCAGCAGCTGTGTTTTCCGGGTATCTGTTGCTTTTCAGCTCTTGGGGGTGTGGCTCAGGTTGGCAGCAAGCCAGGAGACGGGTCGGGGTGCTGGCGTCAGTCCCACCTGCCTCACTCGACGAGAAGTTTCTGAGGAGCGAGTGATGGGTCTGTGACTCTTGGCTAAGAAACACTCAGGACAGTTCAATTTGTACCCCGTGGATAAAGCTGCCATGATTCTGCAGACAGGAAGGAGGCTTCGGGGGTGTGCATGGTTCTCGTGCAAGTCTCCCTCGATTGCCTCAGTACCCTGTTGCCCCAGCTGAAATCTTCCCTGTGCCTCTTTCGGCCAGGGAGGTCCCTTAGTCAGGCACATTCTAAGTGCTCTCCTTTCACCTGGGCTCACGTCTGTGCATTGGCAGGTGAGCAAACCTGAGCTCTCCCCATGCTCAGACCCAACGTGCGGGCTCCACCTGCTCCACATCAAAGCAGAGCCCAGAACGTCCTGCCACCCCCAAGCGGGTCCGTCTACCTGTTGTAGTGAATGCCTCTTGCCTACTCGTTCATTCCAGCTAGAAACCTCAGGAGTGTTTCTGGGCTCTTTCCCTTTCTTCGTCCGTCTGGAAATCCTGAATCGGTCAGTCCTCTGTTGCCCTAGCCCCTCCTCTCTGACGACCCCGAGGCTCCTGTTCCCACAGAGCAGAGCTTTCTCATCCCTTACCCTGGAGCCCCCCTTCCACTTGAGTCATTGCTGTCGTCAGGTTACTGTGGAAAACAGATTTTGTCCTCTCACTCTGCACTCTGGCCGCCCCAGCCGCCCCCGACCCCAGGTTCATGTTCTTGCTCAGTAAGTGTTCTTCGGAGCACCTGCTGGGCG